GAAAAAATTGCGAGTGTTTGGATTTCCATTCTGTTAATTGAGCATTATAAACCAAAAAATTCTCATTTTTCTTGGGCTTGGAAATTTCAATCTGGTCTTGCGAAAGCAGAAGTTTTTGCTGTAATACATAACACTAAGAATTTAGAATAAGCACATGCGCTCTATAAGTGGTAAGTCAATTTAGATGGGACATTATCTCAATTATATACACGACAAATGAAGTGAGATTCTGCGACGATATGATTGACTCGCTAATGGTAAGCACAGTTCTTGATCGCTTTCGCCATTTTGGTCATTCGCACATATTTCAGGAATCATTCAGTGATGCTTCAGCTTCTTTTACGCCCAGAGTAGCTCTGAAGCAAATCATCGATGAAGACAACAATGATTCATACACACGGACCCTGCAACAGATCAAAGCTCGCTTACGTGGTATGTTTCACAGAAAACCGTGCTATCTGCTCATTCGGAGTAAACATTCGCTGCATCTCAATAAAAGGATTTACGAAAGCTCTAGAATTTCAAAGCGACCGCCTTTAGTAGTCATACCATGCATGAACCTCGCAACTGATCGACGTGGCTTCCTGATAAGAGCAAACCAGATGTGGATGACAAATAGCGAATACGTATTTCTAATGCTCAACATACGTTGCACTGGCTTCGGTTAGGTTGCTTTAGCGTTATCGTGTAACACTCACATAGTTTATTCCCTTATTTTTAGGAAGAGCTAGAGCGGAAAAAGAGATTCGTGAGTATCTAACGCGTTTTCGGATAAAAATAACAAGGTAATGGAAAAGAGCTGCGAACGGCTTGGCGCCCGTTTGGGAAGACAGTGTTAACGGCAACATTGATGGCATGGACTCTGTGGCTAACTCAGCTGCAAAATATATGATTGCGATGAGCGATCTTCAAATAGGAACAAGATCGTGGATGATTTCTGCATTTGCAGCTCGACTTGAACACCGATAACATAAACCAAACCTATTTGCAAATCTTTAAAACGGATGTGATTGGATGAGTACGAGAAAGCCTTTTGAACTGCAAGACCATCGAATGTTTGAGCAGCGGCAATAAATCGGTAACCAGATAATGATTTCTAGAAAATCCAGGTGCTCCTTAGCGTTATCATAACTTCTGGACTGTTTACAAGGCAGCTACATGACACCTTCTATGCGTACGGCTTAGGTCTCGCACGGGAACCAACGTACTATCATGA